TTCTTAACCTGTATGATGTACTGAGCCTGAACATATAGTATGGGTGAACACACTTGAGCTTGTACCTTTCTGGATTTACCTGATCTACCTTAAAATCGACAGAGTTTAACATGTGAAACTTTTTTATAGCTCGCATACAATCTTATCTTGAACGAAATTTGTCTTTCTCTTTTAAATTTTCATCTTACTGCACATATGGGTTGAAAAAAACATCTGATGACGGTTCATCTCTGCCCCTGTTGAAGTTTGTCATGTGTGAAGGTGGTGTGTAGATTTCATTTGGAGGTATTTCAGGTAGCGCGTCGTCTTCGGAATCATCGTTGACCATGTTGTCAAACTTTAACTCTTCATCTTCCTCTTCTTCGTCAACAACATCTACTTCTGCTTGTTCGTCTTCGAGAGGATCAACCACTTGTGATTTAGTTGGTTGTGACAGTTGAGGCTCCTGCGGCATAATGTATAACTCAATCGAGTCATACCCAGAATACTTATGACTTGAAAACATATTTTGAAGGTCCTCGTCATCTTGTACCTCTACCTTACAAAATATTATTTGGTTCTTATAAAAAATAGATTTTGGTAGAAGATGTGTGACATTGGACCTCGTGCAAGTTTGACCTCTAGTCGTTTTTTGAAATACAAGAAATTGGCTTTTCTGTTTAAACAAAATCAGATTTTATCAGTGTTTCTAAATAAAAAACCAGAAGTGGGACAATTGTACACCTCACCATTGAAATGTGCATTGATAACACATTGTGGTGCAGAGGACATTGTGTTTGTGTGTTTGAGTGTTTGAGTGTTGATAACATTAGGTGCATATAGAAGAATAAATAAGATTTATTTTCCTTAAACAAGACAAACTTGATCTACCAATCAGGCGCCAACTTGGATGACGCATCCTCTTAATGTTGGGGTTATGCGCCAATTGGGATGGCGCATCCCTATTAGGCATGTCACCTAGTATGCATGCGTCTTACACTGCCCCTATGCTGCCATCTTACATTGGCCCTACGATACCACCTACTCTGCATGTAGGCCTGTCCTATGCCCCTTTAAATGGCGCATGCACTCTATGTTGCATGTAGGCGCCATCCCACTTGGCGCCATGGTGACACGTCTTCTGCATGAATGCAACCCCTAACCACTTCATAAACTCACCTTTATACGAATTCTCCTATAAATATGGCACCTCGGACACTTATTTTGCATCACCAATCCCCACACTCTTTGATACAAACTCTTACACTATTTTATACAATTTCAAATATGATTCTTCTCACAATGGGGATTCTCACAGAGGAACAAGAGAAAACATTGTGGCGTTTATAAGTTTTTATAAACTCTTATATATTCTTTTATATTATATATAGTTTTTATAAAATTATTAATTTAGTCATCTTATAAACTCTTACACTATTTATATTTTAAATTTAGGATACTAAAAGATTTAGACGTCGCTCACACAACAACATTACTTCCGACCCATTGATCATCCCATATCTAGAATATGTCGGTTTTGGAAATGTTATAAAAATCTCAAACTTCACGATTGATTCCAAATTTATACTTCGAATGTTGGAAAGGTGGAGACCTGAGACACACATATTTCATCTACTAATAGGTGAATGTACCGTCACACTAGAGGAAGTGTACATGTTATTGGGTCTCCCTATCGATGGTAAGGCGGTGAATGGGTTGGCTCAACAATCTAATTCTTTATGCGAGAAATTGTTGGGAAAATATACGGTAGAAGCAACTGGTGCTAGGGGCCAAGGTATATTACTGTCCATTCTTTAAAAGAATTATGTGACTCTTGAGTTGAATGAAAGTTCGACCGAGGAAGAAAACATAATTAAAGATAGAAATTATATTATGATACTATTTGGAAGCCTGTTATTTCCCGAAAGTACATGGAATAATGTAAATTTTATGTATTTAAGTTTGCTTATGAACTTTGATAAAACAAGAAAGTATAGTCGGGGTTCCGCTATTTTAGCCCAACTATACAGTTCATTATGTAAAAACGCAAAAAATGACAAATGTACTTTTTATGGATGTGTTTTCTTTCTCCAAGCATGGGGTTGGTGGAGAATTGAGTCCTTAAACTCCGTCAACAATAATGCATTCATTTTCCCCTTCGCAACAAAGTAAGTCAATAGCTTAAATAATTTATTATTCATCTTTTCGCCAAATAAATGTATAAAATTATTATTTTTTCCATTTCTTTAGGTATTGTGTAAGGGGTATGGATTACAACGAGAATCCAAGATTTAATGTCGCTCTACATCGTAATCTTTTGGATCACCTTGGCCCGAATGGTATACGTGGTACCTCTAAACTTTTCTACTTTTAAATTATTTATTTTTAACGTTTTCATTATTCTAATTAATTTTTATCCACAGTTTATTTAGAGACCATATTTGGGTTTGGACCATGAACCCAACCTCGAGGATACAATAGTTTGGACTGCAAAAACTGCAATCATACGGTTCAACATTGTGGAGATGCACCACAGCGACCGTGTCAAGATGCAGTTCAGAATGCATCAAGAAATACCATATGATCTAACTTCTTTGTCACCCCGGTATCTCAAAAGGGTCGACGCCCAATGGGGTGTTAATAATTGGAAAGATTTCGCTCTGGAATGGTGTAAGATGTAGCATAGGCGTCACCAACATGTCTTACAGTTCTTTGTTTTCCTCAACCAGGATAATATACGACACACATATCACTATTTTGATTGGTACAGATCGGTTACTAACCCAGAAATGCACGTGTCTGACCTGAGGTATTTGATCGATCCACGTACATAATGGGCACAATCCTCAAATCCCCAACAACAAACCTAACACACATCAACCTCCCACCAAACACCACGACGATACAGATCTACAAACACCCAACCCTAATCACCACCTCAATACTAATACACCCATATGCCCCCCACCCAACCCTAATCCCAACCTCAATACAAAAACATCCATATGTCACACACCCAACCTCAATCTCAATCTCAATACCAATACACCCACATGCCCCACACATAATTCCAGTACTATTAATAAAGATCATACGTCTAACATCCCTATGTGGGCCTCTCATCATCTCACCTTAGCCCATATCTAGGCCTACCTGAAGAATATGACCCAACCAACCCAACTTACCATCAACCATCACATCATCATAACACCCAACAATCACAGTACCAAACTCCACAAGATTCATTTCCTTTTTATCCCCCTTATTCAAACGACCAGTGTTATCGACCACCCATGGAACCCCACTCCCCACCAATAAGACCAAACTTTGAGGGCATGGGTAACCGAATATTTCAAAGCAGATATTCCAGATATGTTGATCTTACGGATTTCATGGATCCTGAACGTATTGACTTCGTTGGGCCCTCGATCCAACCGCAACAGGAAAATCGTCGAAATGCACCACGAGTTAGGAGAGGACGCGAGTGCGGAACCACAATCCGTTATCGAGTTCCAGAGGACAACTAAATAATATGTAACCGTTATTTTCATTATGCAATCGTTCATTTATTAATGAAAATTGAACTTTCATTAAGCAAAATCGTTTGGTTATCATCTTATATTTAAAATAGAAGAAAAAAATTAGCCCATAAAAGCACTTTGGCGCAATCTGAGATGGCTTAGGGCAAACACTTTGCACCTATGCGCCATCTCACTTGGCGCCTCCATATAAAATGTAACTGTATGCGCCATCTGAGTTGACTCCTCAATTTAAGTGCTTTCTGAAACATGGTTATTTGCGTAACTTTCTCTGAAACATGGTTATTTGTGTATTTTTTTCAAAACATGGTTATTGCTAAAAAAATTCAACACAGCCAACAACAAAGTTGTTCTTGGGACCACACGAACGAAACTTTGTTCTTGGGACCACACGAACGAAACTTTGTTCTTGGGACCACACGAAAGTTGTTTAACACATATGAAAAATGTCGTTATATGACTTCACTAAAGCTGGAAATGTTTTCTTTGTTTAAGTTTGTCAAGATGGTTAGCTATTAAAAGATAAGCTGACAATGTTATCAATATATCCACATTAGTGAATTAGGAATACAAAAATTCATGTGAGCAACTTAAAGACGTCACATGTAAGCTTCCGTTAATAGAATCTAATGAGAAAGACCAATTTTAAAGACGAAAAAATTTGCAAGAACCATTATTTAAAATAAAAAATTAGAGAGATTAAAATTAAACATTATCATATTTATCAGAACTAAAAACATATTTAACTAAAAATTAGTGAATTAGGAATAGAAAAATTCATGTGAGCAATTTAAAGACGTCACTCGTAAGCTTTCGTTAGTGGAATCTAACGGGAGAGACCAATTTTAAAAACAAAAAAATTTACGAGAACCATTATTTAAAAAAAAAAATTAGAGAAACTAAAATTAAATGTTACTATATTTATAGAAACTAAAAACATATTCAATTATATTTTAAAATAAAAAATTCACTTAAAATTTGATTCATTTCAAACACCGAACATAATTCTAATAAAAAAATCATCATCATAAAGAAAACACTAAATACAATTCGAGATTAAAAAATATATTCGCTACTTAAAAAAAATCAAATACATTTCAAAATTAAAAGAAATATATCTACTACTAGAAAAGTTGAGGCCAGATAAAAAAAAATTCTGTTCTTATTGAACGTATAAAATCAAATTAAAATTAAAATTAAAATGCCATACACATTTTTTATCTTGTTTTTTTTAAAATAAATCAATAATATTTACATATAATTTATCTGCCATACACATATAATTTACATATAATTTAGCAGCCTCAAAATTTCTACCGACACCCCCACAAGAGCTACATGAGAGGAAGAAAAGAATATATGCTTTTTCTTTTTGTTGAAACTATTAGACTAAGATAGAAGCATCAAATTTCTAACCTTTTTCTTTTTTGCACCATTTCTTAATCCTTGTTTTTCTAAGAAAACAATTTAGCAACAATAAATATGGAGCTAGAATTAGGACTCAAAATCACTAAAACTAAAGATGACATTGATTCCATTTCTGAGTATCAATTTATGAAGGATGCAGGACCAGTTTTTCATTCTAGAGAAACCAATACCATGTTCATCCTCTCTGCCAATCTCAAAGGTCTATTTCTTCTATCATTGTATCATTGAATTTTTTTAAATAAAATATTTTAAATTTATTTTTAGTATTTTTCATTTTTCAATTTCAATTCGATTTATTTATTATTTGTTTCGGTTCTAAAATTGTTTAAGAAATATAGTTGAATTTACTAACCAAACATAATAGTTCAATTATTTTAAGTGTAATTTGATTCGATTATGAATTCCGTTTGGTTTAACAAATTTTTTTAATAATTCTTTATCTTTTTCTTTTATTTTTTATTTTGGCTTTTATCTTTTACTTTATATATGTTTGTAAAATATCCATGCAAACACAGGTTATAAGAGAAATAACATTGACATCATGATTAGTAAAGATGGGAGTAAGATATCAATTAATGGAAAGAAACCAATTCAAGAAATGGTGATGATGGGATGGGTAATGCAAAGGAAAGTGGTTGATGTTAAAGGTTTCAATAAGGTTTTCAAAATTCCTCATGGTGTGAATTTGGATAAGATAAAAGCAAATTACAATGAAGAGGAGTGGGTGATGAATATTGTCATGCCAAAATTGGTCAAAGGGATTTGTGGTCTTAAGATTGAGGAATTTAAGGAACAATATTTTGACAAAGGAAAATCACACCTAGAGAAAAGTGAAATTGATCATGTCTCTAGTAGTGTTGGAGAGACAAGCCAAAAAGGGTTTAAAGATTCTGAATTTCAACACATGGAAGGAAGTGAAAATATCATAGAAAAGATGCTTGATGATGACATCAACAAGAAATTTAATAAAGAGATAATAGAAAAAGAAGTTGAAAAATCTAAGTTGAGAATTGAGGATGGAAATGGAGAGATTAGAAATGGAATTGATGGTGTTATTAAGGACATAAGAGAAAAAGATATAAAAGAAAAAGAAATGTCTAACTTAAGGGTTAAGGATAGTAAGGTGAAAGATATAGAAGAAAGAGATGGAAAGAAAACATATGAAGCATTGAAGACATTAGAAGATATGGAGAAAACGGTTAATGAAACCAACAAGGATATAAATGAAAAAACAATAGAAAAAGAAGTTGAAGATTTTAAATTGAGAATTGAAAAGGGTTGCAAAGAAGAATATGAAGAGACGAAGAAATCAGAACGAGATCAAGGTGTTGGTGAATTCATCTCAAACAAGTTTCAAGATATGAGCAAAGATAAAGAGTTTGAGAATCAAAAGATGGATAGTAGAAGTGCTAGCAAGAAGCATGATGATGTTAGTAGGGACAAAATTGGAGGGACAATAATAGGAGAAAAAGAAGAATCTAACTTGAGGAGTGAAGATAGTAAGGTAAAAGATATTGGTAAAGGAAACTCACATAACATTGTAGTTACAAGCCAAAGAGTTTTTGAAGAGTCTATGATTCAACAAAGTGGAGAGTCAAAACAAAAAGAGTCTAAAGAACACTTTGAAGAAAGTGAGAAAGAAAATAGTTTAGAACCATTTGAAGCAATGAAAGAATGTGTTTTAAAAAAGCTTGGTGGTAAGGAAGGGCTTGATGATGAAATAGTGCTTATAAAGAAGGAGTTTCCTAAGCACTTACCTAGAAGTGCCTCAAAAGAAAGGGTAGAATTGAATGTTGACAAGATGCAAGAAACCAAAAATGTGAAAGAAGAAATGGTGAACAAAGAGGTTGAATATTTTACAGATAAGGGTGAAGGTGAAAGATTTGAAAGGAAGCATGTGGAAGAAAAGAAAGACAACAATACAAGAGAGACAATGCAAGAGGAATACAAAGAAAGAACTAAGGAAATCCACCAAGAAGTAGAAGATACAATTGAATATGGTTTAGTGAAGTTGAAAGGAGAGGGTTCAACAAAGAATAATGGTGAACCAAATAAGCCTTTTGAGAGAGAGAGTGTAAATAAAGGAACATTTGATGAAAGAAAAGCTCATAAGTGTCGAGAGATTGAACAAATTGAAGATGTCAATGAAAAGGGTGCAAATATTGAAAAGTCTATGAAGAAAGGAAATAACGATAAATATAAGAAGGTTCGAGATGAAGAAAATGAAGGTTTCAAGACAAACAAAACTAAGATGAAAGATGAAATATTTTTGCAAGAAGAGACGAACAAAGGAATATCAAAAGCAAGCAATGCTGCTAAAGAAGTTTTTTCACATAACACTGTAGATTCAGGCCAAAGAGCTTTTGAAGAGGCTTTGATTCAACAAAGTGGAGAGTCAAAACAAAATGAAATTGGAGGATCAAACTGCGACTCTAAGGAAAGGCTTAAAGAAGTTTTGAAAGAAAGTAGTATGAAACAAAATGTAGTTGATCATATTCATAGTAAAATTGGTTGTACAAACCAAAATGAATTTAGAGAACCAAGAATTCCACAAAAGGAGAAAACTAAAAGCATTGAGGTGAAGAAAAATGAAGGAATGGATTTCGAAAAGACGCCTTTTGAAGTCAATGAAGATGTTCAAAAAGCCATTCTTGGAGATGCCATCCAAAAGGAAGAGTTTCCTAAAAACTTACCAAAAAGTAGTGTTAATGAAAGTGAAGGGTTGAATGTTCAAAAGATTCAAGAATCCAAAAATGTGAAAGAAGAAGTGAAGGGAAAAGAGATTGAATATTTTGAGGAGAAGGGTGAAGGTGAAAGATTCAAAAGGATGCATGTGAAAACAAAGAAAGGAAACACAAGAGAGATAATGCATGGGGAAATTGAAAATAATGAGAATGAAATTAAGGAAACTGGTCAACAACATGTAAAGGAGAATACTACAAAAGAAATGGATGAAGTCTCAAAGAATGTGACAGGAGAGTTGAAACAGAAAGTTGCGGAAATCGATGAAAGTAAAGGATTCAATGTTGCAAAGGAGGAAGAACAAAAAAAGGTTACTAAAAAAGCATTGGTTGAAAGAGAAAGTTTGATGGAAAAGGTGGAAGGAAAACAATCCAAGGAGAGAACTAAGGCTAAAATAGTCCAAGACAAGGATGATAAGATTGAATTTGGTTTAGTAAAGTTAAAAGAAGAGAGACCTGCAAAGATCCATGTTGATGGAAGAAGTTTTCAAGAGAAGGAGGAAAGTAAAGATGTAAATGAAAAGGGTGAAAAAACCGAAAGTTTTGGGAAGAAAGTAAATAGTAAGATACAAAATGAAGAAGATGAAGACTTCAAGAAAGGTGTAACAAAGGAAAAAGGTGAATTTCATTTGTCGGACGGTGTGAGTGAAAGAAGATCTCAAGATTCCAAGGATGTAAAAGAGTATTTTCAGATGAAAATGTTAGATTCTCAAATTGATACAAGAGAGGAACTAAAGGATGGAAATATCGAGAAAATAAAAGGTCTCAAAGAGAATGAAAAAGTTGTATCATTTGTGAAGAAAGTGAAGTTGCAAGAAGAAGAAATCAAGGAGAGAACTAAGGCAATAGTTCAAGATGAAGAAGATAAAATTGAATATGGTATAGTAAAGTTTAGAGGAGAAGAATCCACAAATCGCACACATAAGTTTCAAGAGAAGGAGGAAATAGAAGATTTCAATGAAAAGGGTGAAAAATCCAAAGAGATTGTGAATCAAATGAATAAGAAGATACATAATGAAGAAGATAAAGGTTTTCAGAAAAACACAATAAAGGAAAGAGATGAATATTTTTTGCAAGAAGTGATAAGTAAAGGAAGATCAAAAGCAACTAAGGCTGCAAATGATCCTATTGATGAGTTAATTGAGAAAGAGAATATTGGTATTGGAATAGTTGATGGAAGAAAAACACAAAATTTTCAAGTGATGAATCAAACTCAAGATGCAAATAGTGAAAAGACTATGAAGAAAATGAATGGAAACAAAGAAGTAAGTGAAAAAGTTGAACAAGTGGAAGCAAATGAAGGTTTGAGGAATGATATAAAGGAACAAAATTTTGGTGAGTCAATGACAAAAGAAGAACTTCAAGAGTTTGAGATGGAAAGAATAAGAAATTATGAGAGAGAATTTCAATCAGTAGTAAGTATCGGATTTAAGGAGTTTGATTACAAGAATGCGAAAGATAAGAAACCGAAGACGAAATTTGAAAGCAAGGAGAGATATGATTCAAAAGATGAAAGTATGAACCAAGAAAGTTTTAGTCCAAAGAAACCAAAACAAGTAGGAGAAAATTGCACTCGTAACAAATTATGCACAACAGAGGTTGAAACTATGGACGATCAACTGATTAATTTTCAACAATCAAAAGATGAAATAACCAGAAAATCAGAATGTGTTATTCAAGAAAAAGTTGCAAAGAGTGAAGAAGAAAAGAAGCCTAAAATGAAGGAAATAACTTCTCAGTTTGACTTGGCTAGTGGATCCAAAATGGTAGCAGAAGACGAACAATGCATAAACAATGAACAAGAAACAAAACTTGGAATACAAGAAATTGAAGAAGAAAAAGACTATAAACAAGTGTATGAAGAACAAAGAGAAAGTAAAGATGAAACATATGGAGGGAAAAAGAACAATGCAAAAATATCAAAGAAACTGTTAGTTCCATTGGTTATAGCAGGATCAGCATTACTTGCTTCTATAGTATTTATCTTTGTTAGGCATAAAAGATCTACAAAAATGTAAAATTTGAGATCACTCAAATCTAGTTTTCATCCATTTTTTACTAGTTAATCACTAATTGTTCCACAAAATTATTGGTTATGAAATGGCAAATAAGTTAGTAATCAAAATTGAAGAATTTGAATTAATTTAATTTGTTTTTCAGTCTAATAAAGTAAGGGTAATTAGTTAGTCTTTCTTACTTTTTTTTCATGCATTGGCAGCAAAAATAAAAACCCTAACAAACTATGAAAAAATGCAATAAACTTCTACACTAAGAAAACTATAAGATAGAAAGGATAAAATAAAATAAAGACTTTTCCTTTTTTAATTGTCATTTAATTTTTTTTATTTAAGTGTGTAGAAATCATATGAAATAAAAAGGAAATCAAAACTCTAATAGAAAAAGAAAGAAACAAGCAAGCTTCGTGTGACATCATTTTCTCCAACTGAAGGAGCAAGCAAGTACAACTATTCTGAAGGCACAATCAAAACTTCATCCGGCTCTAGGAGTGTCACTTTATAAACCGTTCTCTAATCTATCTTTAATCAACATGAAATTTGAGTTTTTCTTAATGCTCTCATTTATTATGTACTATTGAGTTTTGTATGCATATAAGTAGTGAGTGATCTGAAGTGATCTGAATCGATAGATTCATGATATTATGATAGAATTAAAGTTTATCTATTCCATTCTCACAAAACTAGTTTGTAAATTGAAGAGTGTCACTCTATATAAATTAATATTTTAAAATTTGAATCGAACTAGACGATCAAATTAGGAATTGGAGGGGTCTTCGGTTTAGTTGATAGCTGGATCGAGTAAGTTATTGAGTTTGTAGGAATCGGTTAAAACTAGTCAAAATCGATAAAATTGATGAATCGAGGGTTAAATACTTGTTTTTTTATAAAAAAGTTTTGATAATTAAAAAAAAATAAATTAAAATATAAATAGACTTTTGTATAAATTTATTTGAAAGAACTTTAAGAATTAAATTTATTATACATACAATTATTTTGTTATTCAATCTATATTGTAATTAGACTTTGTTCAAAATTTATTTGGATTTATATTTAGTATTATTTTGTTGTGTGTAATGATTATATTTAAAATTTAAATTTAAAGAATGAATTTGTGAAATTATAATATTTTAAAATTTTGAAATTCTGTAGGTGTCATGATATTTTATAAAAATAATAAATATATAATTTTGTTATAGAGATTGGTTTATTCAATCAAATTATCTGATTTAATATGATTTTATCATGCGGTTCAAACAATGCTTCAATAATTCGACCAATGATCCAGTACCTTTATCAATTTGACGATCAATCTGATTTTTAAAACATCACTATAAATCCTCTGGATGCTCTATTTTGACGCGTGACTTGAATTTTTCCAATATCTATTTATATCTATTAAATTTAGTGTATCAAATTATCTTGCGATACTTCAACTCCTATTTTGCGACACTTCAACTTCTTTTTATGTCACATCATTTATTTTTCTACGTGGCATCTTTCAAAATCCATCTTTAATTTTCAAAAATTAAAATCTATTGTTATTCTCAAATACAATACTTATATCATATAATCTAATATTTATTTACTAACTTTTATTATTATAAAAAATATCCCACTAATTTACTCATACGAAACTGATTATTATTATTATTTTAATGCAATACATTATTAAACAAAAATAATTAAATTTTAACTAAATCTTAATAAATCATTTTTCAAAATACAACTAATTTGCTTATATATATTATTTTCATAAACTTTAAAGAATACTGATAAAATTTGTCTTAAAATAATTTCTTAATTATAAAAATGAAAGAAAAGATATTTTGATACATTTTTTACTTGGTATTTCTAATATAATTTCAGAATCTTTTAGTTTTAAAATAAATAAATGAGATGGTACTTATTCATCATATATTTTAAATAAATAGTACTATCATTTAAAGATGATATTGGATTTAACGTTTAATTTTGAAACCATATCGCAAAAATCACATATATATATTCTTTTTTTGCATATTGATAAATATTTTGGGATTCAACTCTTTATTATAATTCATCCTTATTTTAAATAATATTTGAAATAAAGAGATTCTTGATAATTTTTAATTAAATATCCTAACAACACAATAATTATTCCAACTAAATATATTTTATAAAATTTTAAAATTAAAAGAGATGCTCACACACTTAAAAATAATTTTTATTTTCTTGAAATCATAGAAACAAAAAATACTTTTAATGTTAAAAATATATATTCCACAATTTTTCAGTATTAAATTACTCTTAATTAATCTAAAAATATATTAGAGAACGTCACACTCGTACGGAGTCTATATATTTCATCTCTACATTTTTCATATAACAATAATTTTTTAATTATAAAAAAATGGAAGAAATGATATTTCGATACATTTATTTACTTAGTTTCTCTAAAATAAATTTAAAATCTTTCAATTTAAAATTTGAGATAGTACTTCTTCATCATATATTTTACAATAAATAGTATTATCATTTAAAGACAGTATTGGACTTAATGTCTAATTTTAAAATCACATTATAAAATTCAAATATGATACCATGCATATATTCTTTTCTTGCATATTAATAAATAGTTTGGGGTCACCCTTTTATAATAATTCATCCTTATTTTAAATAATATTTGAAAGAATGAGATTCAGATCATTTTTAACAAAATATCCTAACAACACAATAATTATGTGAACTAAATATATTCTTTAAAATTTCAAAAATAAAAGAAATACTTGAATCTATACACTTTAAAATATTTTTTATTTTCTATAAATCTTACAACAAAATCAACACTTAAATAAACTTTAATGTTAAAGCATGTATTCCGTAATTTTTTTGAATTAAATTACTCTCAAATTACCTAAAAATATAATAGAGAATTTGACTGCAAATATTCATGGAGACCAATACAACTGATATGATGCAAAACAATTGAATGTGTTACACCAAAAACACAAATCCTAATTGGCGCTATAAATGATACATTGTCTTCCGATAATAAAGTCGTAATTTGACCATATGTTACTGCAGGAAAAAAAACAAAATTCTCGATGGATGAAGCAGTGCTAGACCAAGTCAAGGTCCAACATTGTAATTCTGTTCAATTTTTTCCACAAATATTTTCACATCTCAATGAACTACTACCATCATCTTTTATTATAAGCATTATTCAAATAATTACACATTCCAATATATAATCTCCTTACTAAAGATATGTGGTTCCAAAAAAATCTAGATTTGAAACTTAATTGAAATAATAATTAATAAGATTTTACTTACTTTAAGATGGATAAAATTATGAATTCGTCAATATATAATTTTTTTTTGTGAATTACAAAAATGCCCTTATGAATTAAAAAGAAAAGAAAGATTACTTCTAAAAAAATTTGACATAGTTAAAATGTTGTCAAATCAATAATTTGAATATGAGAAAAACATAAAATGAGTTGTGAATTTTATAAGAATTTGTAAAAGAAAATTAATCTCATAGGGTTAACCAAAAGATTCTAAATATAAAATGGAGTAAGTGAAATAACCGGCGAAAAATTATTGAGAGAAAAATCAAAAAGTCGCCATCAAGTATTTATTTATTCCACAGGAAGAGAAAGGAAAATAATCGAAGAAAAACCTGAGAAGAGAGAAATCACGATCTTACGAGTGAGAGATCAGATAAAGGAGTCGATTATGTAAGGAGAAGATATTAGCATCTCTCACATCCTTGGTACTCTACGGGATCCACTTTTGTTGTTCTAATCAAAAGGTGTGTTCATATCTAAAGCTTACGAGCTAAGAGGGAAAATGCATGTATGCAAAGTGTATATACAAGGAAAAATGTTTTATTAGTCGTGCATGTCTCGGTTGCGAATCTTTGTGCCTACGTACCATCGCTCGTGCAATGGGGATTAAGACGCTCGTAGTTCACCTTAAAAGTTTTGGTTGGTTTCAATTTTTTTTATGGATAATGCCATGTTCACGTCCTTGCGGTTAGGATTGCAATTCTTGATTGGCGTTGCAGCTCGTAAAGAGACTCATCTTCGGCCCCTCACGTACTTAGCCTATTTCCAGGTTGCTCGCACTTGAAACAACACATCCTTATCGAAAAGGTTTTAAAAGAAAAAGTCTGAAGACAAAAAGGTTTGCATTGGTTGGTTTTTTTGTTTCCGAAAGAGTTTACGATTTGAACCGTAATAAAGTCTGGAAGTGAAAATGGAGCAAGACTCAGTCTAAACTGATTCGCTCTATCCCACAAGACTCAACTGCATACAATTCACATCTTCAATTATTAAGTACTTTGAGGTTTTCTTAAAGAAATAAGTTTTTGTTTTAATCATGCAAAAGAGGAATGAAAAAGTCTAAAGGAGACTAACAATCCTAAAGTTGTCATGCAATTGAGGTCCTATAGTTTGGATAACAAAGGGAAACATCTACCTAAGTTAGCATGCATGAATTACAATCTTAATGTCTAACTTGAATCGAGAACGAAACAAATAATCCTAAGGGAACATGCAAAGGTGAACCTAGAAGAAAAAACAAAGGTTCAAGAAAGTAAACAACCAAAGATGCTAACAAGCATCGACTCAAAAACATGAACTATCTGTACATGAAAAAAAAGTCGATGGGTCGAAGAACCATTCTTTCATTAGAATAGCTCAATCACAAAATCAAGTAATAACTCGAAGCATCAACGTTAACAAACGTGAGCTAATATCTCCGAAGCGATGACAAGGTGTGGGGGATAATTGTGATCCCTATTGTTCCACTTAATTCAACTCAAGAACAAGAGACAAACAATTCAAAGCATCAACGTACGACGCGGGCTAAGAATGACCATTGGATTTGAATGTGTGGGGGCCAATTGTGAGTCCTAGTGTTCCACTTTTTATTGACTCGATTGCAAGCACGGAGGAGAATTTCCTTCTTTGAGAACTTTAAACAAACACACAATGTTGCCCCTTTTTGAGGTCTTT